GGAGGCGGAGCTTGCAGTGAGCCGAGATCGTGCCACTGCACTCCAGTCTGGGCAACAGAGCGAGACTCTGTCTCAAAAAAAAAAAAAAAAAAAAAAAAGAGAGAAATCTGTTCTTAGCTCAGAAGCTGTATAAAAAACAGGCAGTGGGGCTGGATTTGGTCTGCAGGCTGCAGTTTACCAACCCTGGCTCCACACCAATCCTTATTTCTGTCTCATGGATGGCAGACTGAGACTCAGCTCTCAGTATGGGAGGGCAGATCCAGGCATAACCCCTGACCTTCTGAATTCAACCTTGGGAGCTCCTTGAACCTTGGGGGTGGTTGTGGATTGTTTGAAGTTGATGCCACAGCCCATCATGGGTGAGCTGGGTGTGTCCCCGCCTCGGACTGAGCTGGCTCCCTTGTCTGTGTGGGATTGCCCATCTCCTGCTGAGAGTGGAGACTGTTCTTCGCCCTCTGCTCCCTGTCACTTGGAAGGCAGAAGCATCTGCACTTGCAGGGCAGGAAGACTTTGTCTTCTGGATCTTGGCCAGTGTGCCTGGGAGCCGCCCATCCCCAGGTTCCAGTTATCAGCACCTTCTCCTCCCTCGGGTGATGTCCAGGTACTTCTGGGTCTGTCCCACTTGACTGGGCTGCCTGGCTCTCATTTCAGCATTCAGACCCACCCAGCTGCCTCCTGTGTGGGATGGAGCCCATGGGTGGTGTAAGGGGCCAGGTGGCCTGGGCCCTGTCCTTGCCGGTCCTCCTACTTGTGACCTTGGGTGGCTCCTTCTCTCCTCTGTGCCTCCATTTGCACGTAGAGGTTCTGAAGAGCTTAGCCCAGTGCCTGATACAATTTGTGTGCGTGACCAAGGGACCAGCCAAGCTTGCCGGGGATCTGGAATATCATGGGAATACCAGCCCAGCCACGTCAGCCTTGGTGACGAGGTTTCCCAGCTTCCTCCTTGCCCTCCGAGCAGAGCTCCTCTGAGCAGCCCTTTCATCCTTACACCTAACTGGACAAAGGAAACCCAGCCATCCCTAGAGATCCCTTTATAATCCCAGCTACTGCCCAGAAGGGACCACTTCACAGAAGAAAGATCTTGGGCTCTGAAAACCACTGCCACTTATGAGCTGTGTGACTTGCACAAGTTACTGAACCTGTCTGAGCCTCTGGTCTGCCAGGGATAGAAATACTCACTTCCTGGGCTGGTTGTGAGGATGATG